TAACAAAATGAGTTTGAGGATTCTTCTTCCTGTGGTAGCTCTTCAAGGCCTCAAGCCCATTTTAGCATTTTGTCAAGCCCTGGTCACAGAGTCAATACCACTTATTAATCATATTAAAGCCCAGATGTATCACTCAGGGTGATACATGGAACTTACTAACTGATATTTTGGACTTTGTGCAAGTTCCTTAACTAAATTCCAATTAACATTCCCCAGCCTGCRTGGTTTTATTTGGAGAAGGTACTTTACAGAGTAGCTGGAGGTAGCCCATCGAATATTGCATTTGATCCAAATGTATTTGCAGTTCAACAGTGGGTGAAGGGAGTTACTTCTTGCATGGGCTGAGTTTTGCTTAATTGCAACTTGGATTCAGGTAAAAGCTATTTGAGTTTTCATGGGGAGTAAGAAAGGTATATTTTAATATCTTTTATTATCACAGTCCCTTCCAAACATTTCTCCTTTTGTTTATTTGGAGAGAAAATCTACCATTAAATGATTTGTTCAAATATTAAAACCCCAGTTTGGCTGGCTCTCAACAAGAACGTAGGCTTCTATTATAACATATTGGGAGCTTTTAAACCAAAGCAATTCATAATAAATTTATTCAAATTGACACATTTCTGGTTATAATGTCTTCATTATTTCTTCAGAGTTATGAAACATGAATTACACCACTGTAACCACAACACTAGTCAAGGATATCTAATTTTCTGTGAASTCTGTACAGTCATCATGTAGCTCAAGGCATACATTCAATTATTTTCTTCTACTGATTTCTTATATTGGTGTTATTCCAAAGACTAGAGTAATATTATAACCTCATTTCCTCTAATTCTAAAAAATATTCTTACTTGGCAGGTTCTAAAAACACATAGCAACGTAAAAAAATGATAAATAATTACATCATTAAAATCTATTAGGCATACATTGAAGAGAAGTGCATTTCAGATTCTTTTGTATATTTCAAACACTTTAAGCAGTACATGCACTTYACCATCAGAGCCAGCAAGCTAGCGTATATTTTATTCAATTCAAATTAAAACTGAATTAAATTAACATGGCATAGAATTCCTCAGTCATGAGAACACAAGCATTAAAACGATCAGCATCAGCCAAAAAAGAACTTTTTAAAGCAAAATAAAAAGGTTCTCCATAAGTATCTTTTCTCTCTTACACTTCGTTTATTAAATTCTTCTAACAAGAATGAAGTGAATTATAATTTAAAAAAAAAAAAAAGCTGATAGCCTCTTTTACAGCTTCTTAGGATGGAAAGATTTTTTTCTCTCTCACTTTGCTGTCAGAGATGAAAGCCTGAGCAGCAATTATTAAAGGTCTGAATTTGCATTTTTCAGCAATCCAGAGAAATGAGAGCAGGTATTGTTATCAGCATTATTATCATTATAAAGTTCTTTATGTAAGGATATTCTAACGAAGKTGCTGGTCAGCTGTTTGTTAGATGCCTTGCCAGCCATCAGATAATCTTACAGTAGATCAAAAARAACAACAAATTAAAACTATAGCTGTTAAATCCTCTATAAACTAAAGTAACTGGATGCAGTGCCTTAGTGCTAGAAGCTAACACAGGAAACCCGCAGAAACTAAAAACAAATTAATGGATTTGTTTGTAAACCAACTACAGCTGGTAGGATTTTGTCTCCACAGTTCTCTTTCCCTCTAGTCCTTTTTGTCAAGGCTGGACTGGACAGAACCTTACAGAACTAATACTCCCCTAAGCCAAGACCTCTCCAGCTCACTGTACTTGGAACAGATATTTGAGGATTAATATCAATGACAAAATGACCCCTGATAAGACTGTGCTGGCCTGAACTACCAGTGAGAAGGACTGAGAGAACAGAGTGCAAGATTCCTTCCAGAGTAGTGGAATGAGGTGTCTTCTCTGCCACAATCAGACCAATTTAGATGTGTCCTTGGGTAGCTGAGCTGGTTGAGTAAAACAGGCAGCCTCTGCTTTAKTCTGTGAATGAATTTTTACAGACCTGCTACAGAACATGTCCAAAACCAGCTCAAGCAGAYACCTGCTGAAACAAGGTGTCAGGAGCTTATCTGCTAGAAGGTATCAGGGAAAGTGGAAGCCAAAAAGTTTACTTTTCCTAGGGAGGTTTGAAGTAGGCRTATTTTATTTCCATTTTCTCTTGCAAACCAACTTTAATTGTGTTGTTTTTTTAYTATGATCAGATACGTGTGTATCTCTATTTTGCATGTGGAGTCAGTATGGAGAGGTGGAGTCCAGCACAGCATCCTCTGCTAAGTCTGGGYCCTGTTTAAATGCTGTTGGTGCAGCAGTTGCTGTGGAAGACTTCAGTGGAGGGCCACCCTGGCAGGGGAGGGATTCCCATTGTTACCAGAGTTCAGGGAATTAAAGCATTTCCAGTGTCCAGTGGCCACACAACTAAGGGAGCACAAACAATTTAAAAGCTACTGTCATTTGTTTTCATACTGGGATTCCATTTTTCAGGGAATAATAGCAAGAATATAACAAATTGTTGACCCTTTGCAAGTGGGCTTCAACATAAATTAATTGTGTAAAAAAATGAAYTTTATGTTTACAGTGCAATTTGTCCCTGAAATGGAGGCTCAATTAGAGCCTCAATGATTTACTAAAGACATTTTAAACATAATGTCCAAACAATGCTACATAAATTAAACATGATGTAATTGAGTGTAACACTAAGTGGCTCATCACTGTTATTCATGTGGAAATCACTGAAATTCTACTGATCATTATGCATTCATTCAGTATTAATGTAGATACCATACGTGCTTCCATAGGGATTCTAGTGTTACTCAGCATTCATTAAGTTTTAATGTACCATTAAAAAGGCATCAAAAGACCCATCTAAAAATACTGCCACAAAGGTAGTTCATTTAAAGACAGTTAAAGCAGCATGTTTCACTTTAACATTGCAATACAAAGTAAGGTAATAATGAATCAGCAGAAACACTTCAGGAGAAAATAGTGTTTGATTGCAAGCCAGACCAGAGTGTTTGAACGAAAGGCAATACATTCGCCCTGTTCCAGATTTCTGCACATTTTCTACTCATCATGCAAGTACATGGTCTTTAAGCTGAAATTAATGAATAAGTATAGATCATATCCTTAAGGGTTTAAGTGCTTTTATTCCCTGGCCAGACCACTGAAAAATCACCTGTGGATCAGATGATAACATCTGTGAATAAATAAGACTTCACAAGGTTCTATTCAGCTGGATATTTAGTGCTTTAGAAGCATGACACGCAAAGTTTTCTCAGACTTTGATCTTGTACAGAATAGGTATATCCTGTAGGTGACTTGCTACAGCAAACAGCAAAAGGAGATAGATGAAAAAAAAAATGTCTAAGATAAAAAAATCCTCTTCCCAAGATACTGAGAGAAAGGAAGCACGAGGCATGCTCAGTCCTACATATTAGTTTGGCAAACCTTGATGACATATAATTGATAAAATGGCAAAAGTGTACAAGTCTCAAATATCTATGGCACAACTCCTGATGTAAGGATGCAAGTGCCACAGAGAGCATGAAYGGGGATTGATTATTATCTCTTTTAGGAAAAGCTTTGGAAAGGATTAAATTAAGCTAGCAAGTAGAAGTTCACAACAAACAAAAAATCAACTGTCAAAGAACTCCGTGTCACACAGGAATGTGCCACTGTTCAAAATTTATGGAAGTTGAAGGAATAAGTTGCTCAGCTCTTGAACAAGACTATTTCAGACTATGAAATAGAAATCATCTTCACTTTGGCATTTCCAGAGCTAAAAATTGTTGAAGGTTTAGAATACTTGGGGTGTTACTTTGTGTATTTTATAACCTTGTGTTTYTATCCTAGGCATATATTTTAGATCATTGTCAAAAGCCAGGTAACAGGCTAGGCAAACCTTCAGTTTGAGCCAGTATAACGTTCTTCCTCGATAGTCTAAAGCTAGAACAGACTATTGCTTGAAGGTACAATGATTAATCACTTGCATTCACATAGCAACTTTTGTGTTGAAACATGGTTGTGCCATCCTGATGAGTTTTCCTTTTTTTTTTTCAACTAAAGCAGCCCCGTTCCTTTAATTTTTCTTGACATTGTTTTTAAAGGCCTTATAACTCTTGTTCTATTCTCTCACCCAAATTCCACAGTTAGATTAGCAATCTGAAGAGTCAGAATTCAATCTAAAATATCAGCTCCTTTTAACTCCTTTATTTTTCACTTGGAAATTCATTTGATTCCTGCTTATGTTGTTTTTCCCACTGATGACCAGGCCACTCACATTTYGCATCAGGTCCAAACTATGTTTTTAAAGTAATGTAATAGTTACAGAAGGAAAGATACACCTACTTCCTTTTCCTGACAATATGGTCTAGCAGGCCCTTTCTTAGACTTTTTCAGGCTTTTATCTTTAGCTGGCACCAAAGAAAATGCCTTTTATATCTACTGAACTTCCAAGCACACCAAGACAGTCTATTTTCTTTTCATTTTGGAAATTTTCATTAAAAGAACACAGTAGTAGACRTAGTCTGAATAAAATGAAAGAAATTAAATTCACCGTTTCCATACAGAGCCTCACAGCCCACCTCCCCCAGATCTCCCTCTCTTGGGGTTCCTCTTCCTGATAGGCCAAGCCCTGGGTGAACTGGACACCGAGAGTTTGTGTCTGTGTGTCATGGYAGCTTCTGCCAAGGCTCTTTACACAGCCCACAGCGGAGCTCTGGAGCTTATACAGATGTGTTAGAAGGGTGCCATGCAGTTGCCAGCAGCTCCACAAACCAGAATGCCCTTCTGTTTCTATCCCACAGCTGTCTTGACAAAGGGAGGTTCAGGTAAACAGTGCCTCTGGCATCTTGCTGTCCTCAGCACTCTGGAGATGGTCAAAACATCCTTGAAGAGCGGGGGCCACCACAGCTCAGCTGCCTTCTGAGCATTCAGGAACTACCCAGGCACCAATTCTGTTTCTGAGAAGGGTTAACAGCATGCTGATCCTTGACTCTGAGGCACCTACCTGTGCACTGCCTGCATGCCCATCTTGCTCCCAGTCCTCTGCAAAAGGAACTTTTCTGCAATCCACTTCTTCAACCTTTGCTTCACCTCCTGGTTTCACTCGGCGCTGGAGTTCAGGATTGCAGCAGTTTGGCATTCATAGCATAGGGATTTCCTTTTTGGTCCATGCACTTTGTAGCTGCAGGTGGCCAAATACACTTGAGTTTGCAGAATGCAAGTGCTTAATTAGCTGTTAGCAATTGAAGCAATGGAATAATGTCTGCTGATGGGACCAATCATGCTGTTTAACCAAAGGTGACCAATTACAGCTCTTTCCGCATTCCATCTCCCCTTTTAGTTCAAGTATTTAATTTAGAAAACTGCAATCAGCTTAACTATTTAAAATATTATTTTTACTGTATTGTTAATAAATCAGAGCTATATAAAGCCTCAAGCAAATGTGAAATAAGTTCATTTTTCCTTGCTTTGCCATTTCAGATTAAGTGTGACTATAGACTGTAAGATGGCTGTCTTACTTTCTTGCTCAGGATCACAATGGGGGGGAAAAAGGAAAAAGAGACATTAAAAAACAGGCASACACATTTATACAACTGAGGAAAAATGATGAAATTCTGAGTCCAGCTATGATTATTTTTTAACTAGAAATATTTTAACCATTAGTAAGCACTCTAGTGGTTAATGTACACCAGCACTAGCACACTGTGTACACTAGTACTTGCAAATAGCCACTATTGATCAGATTTTTTTTTTGTGCAGGTGCAGGTTTTTCCTTTTCCCAATGCTAAGAGATTTTCTTCCATCACTGTATTAGCAAATGTGGAACATCTGGTTCAAGAAAAGCATGCAGATGAAGAAAAGCACAATTCCTTTCATCTCTACCTCATCCCTTCTCCTTCCCTTTTTTTTTTCTCTTAACTGTCTTGAGTAATTTAGGAATAATTTAGTCCATTAACAGTTTTGGTGGTCTTTCCAGGGTGATGGAGGGATGTGAGAAGGAAAATATTTATCTTTTTCACTTTAAAACAGCTAGTGTTTCTGTTAGTGAACGTGGGGTTTAATRTAGTTAAAAGAAGAAAACTATACATTTCTTCCAAATATGCTCCTTGAAGACATAAATCCCCCAAAAAAGTAAAGTGCTTGTGTTAATAAGGAACAGATGACAAAAAAAAAWATGCAACTTTAAGTACAATATATTGCAAAAGACTTTTGACACGGAGTTTCTGTATTGGTTCCCATGCCATATAGCTCTTTCAAGGAAGACAAAATTAAGTATTTAAGTTTTTAACAAGCATAGTTTCCTCTACTTGCAAATKTCATGTCATTTTAACAAGGATACTTTTCCTCTCACAAAGCTACCTAATCAGACTTTCAAAGAAGAAAAAAATCCATCTTAGCTGTGATTTTCAATTAGATTATATAAAATAATCCTCACAGAAGGCATCCTTTTCAATTAAAAGCTGTTAAACATTTCCATTGATATTGCTACAGCTTTGCTTTATCATCAAAATAGACTTCATAAGCAATCTGCCTACAATATTTCAGCTACCCAGTCAGCAGTCAAGCACTACAGAGCACCWCAGCTTCAGAATCTCAGACCATTCGCAGCACCAACAAACAGTTCTGTGCTTGTAATTGCAGCAGTTCCAGTCCAAACACACCATTCTGACTTCAGCCTCACATGCAGTTTAACACAGACAGACAAATTAAGATTYGTGTTCCCTTCTGCAAAGAGCTCTATTTGTTTGGCTACCAACCCACCTACTTAGTAATTTACATTTAGTACTCAGTCTAGTTGTAGTTGTCCAACACATGACAGATGCAGTCTGGCCAAGCTTTCAAGAATGTTCACTCTACTGCTCAGCAGCACTTTTTCCTTGTTTCTATTTAACAGAAGTCTTTCAAATTTTTTGGTAACCATATCTTGAAATAGGATTTTAAGCAGCCCCAATTGAAAATGTTTGCTTTGGCTGGTAACAGCTACCTGTAAGAAAATTTGAAGTATTAGCTGCTGTCATGTGTAACACCATGCTTTCTGGTCCATACCCACATAGTTTTCATGTCTTCCTCAGAGATCTTCATGTTGTATGCTACAATTACAAGTAGCTGGAAAAAAACAGGGCACCAATTATTGAATATACATCTCAAAAATTGAGACACTGAGTGGTTTAACATCTTTCAGCTCGAAAGTATGAGAGCTCTTAYCTTGGCCTTACAACTTTTAGTCACAGGAATATTTCCAAAAGTTATCTGGTGATGTTGTCCCAGCAAAAGTGCTCCCTTCTCCAAGTACATCTGTAGTCTTAATTTTATTCTTCTGTAGAATAAATTWAAAAAATATATCTTCTATAATGACTAACAAGAGAATTTTTCCTACCTACCTCTCTTTGCTTTTCTAGCCCTGGAGTCTGAACTATAGCACTGTTCTACATGGATACCTGCTGCTTCTTCAAAGAACTCGCCCCAGTAGTCAAAATGCACCTTCACTGGGGCCTGCTATTGATCTGGACAATTACACTGACATTTCATTTACTTCAGTATCTTGATTTTCATTGCTAAACATTTTGACTGCCATGCAAAAGCAAGGGGATTGTAAGAGGGATGGCATAACTAGTTGTCTCCTTTTGGAAGACATCTGTGATACTTGTCCAAACTGTAAGTATTCTTGGGCTCAAAAACCAGTCTGTTTATCCTGCATGTAAGGCATCCACAACAAAAGTTTACTGCTGTTGAGCTTGGGCTTGCAGTTACCAGACACACTTGTTACTTGAGCAGAAATGTTTTCATGGTTGAATAATGAATAAACACTTAAAGTTCATCAACAAGAGTTTCTCTAGTAGAATTTAATAAAAAAGTGTAAGAAAAAAAGCATCTATAGAAATACAACAGCAAGATTTTAAAAAGTCTTACATATACATGTTCAAAAAACAGGGGAAGAGAAAGTTTTGCGAAACAATACTGCCAGCTAGTAACAAAAATTCCCACTGAAGAGTTTCACAGTACTATAGCATGGGTAGACATTTCATTTAGTTATCAAGCAAGTTCAGTTACACTGTGAAGAAACCCTAAAATTTAAGCAAGGTGTTTTTAGTTTTAATCTGTTACAAAAGACGGTATTTGCCTTCAGGAGTTCACATGAAAAGACAGTTTAACATATGRGACTAAGAAACATATAGTAGTACAGTTTTGTAGTCAAAACCAAAGAAAAGAACAAAGTACRGGTTTTWGAACTTTCCCCACAACAAGAATAATTGGACTCAGTTGCTTTCTTTGAAAAAGTGAAACATCATATMTATTTGTATTAGCAGAGATGGAGATTCAAATAATTTTATTAAATAACTCTGGTCACTGTGGCAGAGAACACCAACGTTTGGAAAAAACCCTGCAACCCCCACACACTCAGTACAAGGAAGAGTCTCTCACAGTGCACCCTCTCTCTGGCAGTTACAGATCAGCATGTTGTACAGAGATGCTTAAAACAGACTTCAAATATCACAATGAGCACAGACTCTAGAATCCAGAGGGCAAGTTACAATTTTCAAGTCCGTCCTTCAAAACACAATGAAATCTAAAATGTAAGGCCCAGTTGGAAGTTGGAAACTTCTATCTCACTGTTTACAAGTGAAGGTTGAAGTTTGATTTCACAGACAGACCCTGAAACAGATCTTTTGAACCACCATGTGAGTTCCCCCCACCCTTGGAGCGAGCCCTTGGTTGGGGGCAAGAACAAGGAGGAGATGGAAGTGGTAACACACAATGACAGGGGACCAAGATACAGGAGAGAACAGCAATGAAAGTGTTCATCAGCCCTCTTAATGAATTTTTATTTACTAAAATATTCCTTAAAGGGTTTCARCATTAAGTTATCACTGTAACTTGTAATCAGCAATTGACTCTGTACTAGGAAGATAATTAGACTTCTTCAAGATTATTGCACAAAAACCTGGCAGCAAACAATTTGAAAATGCACATATAGATCAGTTTCTGAAACTGAATTACATTATGTTTCTAAAGTACAATATATATATATAGTTAAAGAATAGAAACTAAATACAATTGCTTAATTTTAACYCAAGTCCAGCAAGAAAATATTTTACTATGGCAAATACCCCAGCACAGGCTGCATGCATCCATAATGTATTTGTTTCATCAAGAGTGTGATCATATTTCCATCCCCTCCCCAAAATGTATAATCTTGACAAGAAACTCAAAATAGATAAAATATAACATGAAATATTTTCTTTTAATACATATTTCCATTTTGGTATTTAATGCTAATCTATAAATAGATGATCTCTGACACAAGCATGATTTATGTGTTATTGTGCTGTTTTAAGATTAAAATATTTTACATAAATAAGTCCAAAGCAGTTCAATTTTTAGTTATGCTTCCAGTGAAAAAAATATTCTTCTATTTCACTATCAAAACTGGAATTTGTATTGTATTATTAAGTGACTATATGTTGATCTATTTAAAGATATAATTAGTTCAYAAAAAGTACTGCTTATCTCAGTGTAAGGTAAATACTATATACAGATATCTAAAGAGTAGTTGAGAAACATCATGTAGTGCTACTGTTAAGAAAAGGTTTTGAGTAGTACAAAAATTTCCAATGATTTCTGTCCTGATTTTATGTGTGTGTGTGTGTGTGTGTGTGTGTGCTACCAGGAAAGAAGTTACAGGAGATTAAAAAAAACAAAACCAATCTAAATATATATCCCAATTACTGACTGCTAAAGGAACAAAAACATGTATTTTTTTTAGACAGAAACAAAGTATTGCATTGAAGTAAGATATTCTACTAATTACAATTTTAATTTAATAAAGTAACATGGAGGCAGCATGTGGTAGATTTAAGTCCATACAATCTGTTAAAGTAATACAAAATTGAAAATTAATGATGTGGTCTAAAACTTTTAGGTCGCTTCCAATCTGTAATTTCAGCACAGTGTTAYATATTGTTCAGTCTTGAAGGCTAAAATCAAGAACCTTCAATTCTCATTCTAAGCAAAGCTTACCTGCACCTCATCTTAAAACTTTTTAGCAGCATAGTCAGCTTAATAGAGAGAAAAAGGCAAAATATTACCATAATTTACATATTCTATCAATCTTTTCAAGGCATCAAAAACCCAGCTTGAAATTCTTATAACCGTTGAAAAAATATATTAACATATACTTGCATTTACACTTTCAAAAATTTGTAGTTAGTATTTAGTTGGCCTATGAAGCAGTAGTAAAGTGCAAAATATTTGGTATAATGTCTAGGGATTAGCCTTAGCTTCTGTGGAATACAAAGGATTAAGCCTGGCTCTTCCATTGACAGCAATGGTGTTTGATGGAGGACCAACCTGGAGGCAGGGTGGAAAGAGAAAAAAAAGAAAGAGGAAAAAATATTAAAGAAATGTTGACCTAAATATGTTAGACAGTGTTATTTCATTTAGTGCTTTTCTCATTGCAGTGAAAAGCTCCTATGTGATTTCTGAACTCAGCATATATGCTACATAAGACATTACTTAAAGATGTATTTTATCCTGAATAAAAATTTAATGTGTAACTATTGCAAATACCCATTTTTTAGTCCTTCTCCCTACCTGACTGCAAAGAAATAGTTGAAAAACATCATTAAACCAAACACTTTTTATTAAATATTGATTAGATCTGATTTCTTACATTTCTCTATACCATGGTGATGTTTCTTTAATCAGAACCAAACCATAACTTTAGGACAGATTGCCAAAGCCTGATTTTCAGTGGAACTGTATAACCCAACAACACCATTTGGAGTTAATGGGAGCTGCAGATGCTCCACAGGCATCAGAACCACACACCACAGCACACAGTTTACTAAACACAATGAAAACATTCTGAAGAGAAAAATGGTTAAAAAAAAACTCACTTGACCCATTTTAGTTTAGTAATTACTGAGGGCCCTATTGAACAGGAAAGACCAGCAGCACAAAAGGCCACAGATCTCAGCACTGCATACTTACAACATATTAAGYAAAAACAGAGGGTGAAAATAATTAAAAAACTTAACTAGTGGTGCCAGGATTTTATTTTTAAAATAACTCTCACACAGAGCTGCAAGAAGGGAGAGTATGGTAAGAGGTAAATAGAGAAGCAAGTACCTGATGGACCTCTCTGATAATTCAAATGGATCAGATTATTACTCCTTTTCCTGGCTGCAGCACAATACTGGCAGCTATGAGGTGTATGCATTCTACCAGTCCTCTCAATTCTCAAAGGTACTTTTGGGTGCAAATAACTTATTGATACAAAATGCTTCATTTCTCTGTCCTACTACTGCCAGTTCTCCATGTTAAACATAAAATGAGACCATGTTTTTATTAAAYTTGCTGTAGGCCAAAAAGATCTCTTTCTGCTGTCAGATGTACCTGTACCACAGCATATGCACTCTGAGAGTGAAAAGAACAGCATGTACAATTTTATGCTTGGCAAAACTTCAGTGAGTTCTTCACTGCATTTTGTTTGTGTTCCAGGGGGGTTTTTTAAGCCCTTTTCAGGTTTTTGTGCTGCAGACTGCTCTTCTTTATGGTTAAAGCTTCTTCATTATTATAACTTCTCCTTAAAAAGTACAGCCCTTTCATCACCTCAGTCTCAACAAATAGTTTACTGACAAAGCACATATAGCAGCCACAGAAGGAAAGGGAAGGGGAAAACCAATTTCAGTCATCATCTCTTTCCTTTGCCCATACCATTCTTGTACCTGGATTGGTAAAGACTATATGCGTTAAATCTACACTAAGAATATTTCTACTAAAAAAAGAATGAATAAATAAAGTTTCATATTATTCACAATGCAATTATGTATTAGAAGAAAAAAACAATCTTAAAAATATATGCAAATAAAATCCAAACAGCATTTCTGGCAGATTTTACCTCTAACAGATTCTGAACAATACAACATTTTCTTAATCTCTTCCTGTTTTTAATATGATTACTGACATTGTAGAAAAGATGGGAGGTGTATAAGCCTCAGAGAGGCTGTTGCACTGCTACACTGAAACAAAAACCTATGAAATTGAATATTCCACTATCTGACCATTTATGCTGAGATTTTGACCTGACAGAATCAAGGAGTTCCATAAAACAAGCAAAAAAGTCCCTTGTATCCACCTGCCACACATCATTCGTTTCTTTCAAGTGGAAAACAAAAAGAACTACTGAACTTCGTTGACCTTCTACAATGAGAAATTATTCCTCAAAAGAGAATGCAAAATACTAATGTGAGGTCAAGAAAATTTTGTGAGATAATGATTGCTTGCAAACTTAAAACAGCACAGATTTTTGAAGTGTGCACTGTTTTACCCAATGAGATGTGTACATTAATTTTAGGAGAGGAAATTCTTAACCAGAGTGGGTAGGGGAAGAGGGTYGCTCCAGGACTGTTGACCAAACATTGAGAAATATCTTAGTTATGATGCCAAACAGATTAAGGACCTGATGAAGTCTAACAAATAGGGAAATGGCCTTCAGAACTGTGTTACCTGCCTACAAAAGGTTGCAGACACCTCAGGTCTAGAGCAAAGCTGTTTAGCAGGCCTCTAAAACCATTCTATTTCAAACCACATAAACAGAAACAAGTCAGATTTTATGGACAAAATGCTTAACTGATAACACAGAGATTTCTATTTCATTTCAGGAAGATGTTGTTTACATTTGTATTGTATGAAAATACAGACATTCGATGCTCTGTGAGAGCTTTCACCAGTTTATTGTGCAAAATGGACCCTCTTCCCCACCTCCCTTACCATTGTTAAGAGATCTCCTGACAGTAGTTTGTGCCAAGACTGACTGCTTTTAGAATCAGGCATTAGTATGGTAATTCTGAAGGAAGCACCATGAGTTCTTTGTTTTGGATGCAATGATGAAAACTCACCCTTTTCAATTTGGCAGCAGCTTCTCCAGAGCGGATTGCAGCCAGCAGGCTCTGGTGGATCTGTTCGGGGTCAGCGCGCGGGAGCGTCATCGCGGTTTGTCTCTTGGTGACAGGGYGTGGGTGGTCAGGGGAAGCACCTGACTGCGCCTGACTCTTCTGCTCACTATTCACATGGCTGCTTTTCTATAAAGGGAGGAAGTGGAAGGAAAAGAAGCCAAAARACTTTAATCTGAATTAGTTATAAATGGAAATCTGTATCAACCTGGCACAAGGTTGCATAGCAAACTGCTGCCATTCTAGTGTTTGCCTGATTCAACATTTCAGAGATCAGTCACATTTCCAGCATAGCACAGCTTCTCAAGCAATTATGCCAGCAAAACTTCATATCTCCATTCAAGTGTGCTTGTGGCACAACCACTTGAAGCCAAACGGATCACACCACTCAGAATTAAAGAAATCAACACACGGAACTATAAAGAACCAATCATAAGCACTCCAAGCATAAAAGTAAGTACTACACAGGATAAATGACTATGTAATTTAATTCTTTAAAGTAGGGGATGCTAATTATGGCAGGAAATGATTATTTCTAATCATCTGAATTATGCGGCTCTCATTTTTAACATTCCCTGTGTACTTCATCATAACGCTGTGCTATTGATGGACATTACAGAGTGTTTGCCCTGTACCAGGGAGTGGTTCAGAAACAAGCCTTTACACAGGCTGCACTTGATGGCAGTAGATTACAGTCAATTAGTATTAGAAATAAAATGTACCTTATCCATTGGACTGTTTTGTGGCCCTGCTGTTACAGTCTGCAAGGAAGGGCTTTTCACTTCAGGCATGGAGGTAGCTGAGGAGAATCCAGCTGCCGAGGGGGCAGAGGAAAGCTCTACTGGGAATTCCTCTCTCGGTGCCTGGCTAGGGATCGTACGTGTCTTATTGAAGGATTGTGACCTTTTGACTGCAGATGAGACAGCAAGAGCAAAAGGGGATGGTCTTGAACTGGAGTATGGCTTTGGAACTGCAAAAGTTCTTAGAGTTCTTAGATTCAACGGTGCTGGAGGACAGGAGGGAAAAATTATAGGCTTATTGCTTTTAACAGGAGAAGTGGAAGATTCAATGGTTTTTCCATCATCAACCTTTTCTTGATCTGCTGGAGGAGAGGGAATACTTGTTTTATGTAAAGCCAAAGAAGTCAAATCAGGTGATGAGACTTTTTTATCCATTTCTGTATTCTTAACTTCATTTTGMACTGAATTAGGAGCACAAACTGTACTTCTGGCAACTGCAGATGTCACATAGTGACCTGAAGCTCTTCGTTGCATCTGCATATAAAAAGAACTAGGTTTTGTTGTAGGACTTAATGGACTTAATGCATTTGACTTGTCCTGAGTCTCAGAAGAAGCATTTGTATTATCCAAGCTTAGCATCAGTGGGACACGCTGCTTGGAAGACTCTCTTTCCATCTGGCTGTTCTCGGTAGTAATCTCAGCTCCAGAGGTCACAGTATGTTCAGAAACACTGTTCACTCTCTGCAGCAGATCATTTGTTGCTGCAGCTTCATTTTGTGAACCAACCTGTAAATGACCCACACTTTTTGAGAGATGAGGAATTTCAGTTTGCAGTACAAATTCTTTGGGGTCTTCCACAGTAGATACCTCTTGATCCTTTTGATCTGATGGAACTTCTGATTCCCAGCTCTTCATTACTCCTAAGAATTTTGGAGGCACTATTTTGTAAGTAGTCATCCCAATTTTTGGTATGTAATCCCTTGTAATTTCATTAGCAGGCTTGGGTTTAGGTTTGGTGTCCTGTCTATAAAAAGGGTAACCTTTTAGAGGAGACTCATCTGGAGTTTCTGCAGTTGTTTCTGGTGAAGCAAAATTATTACCATTTATACTCGTGTGACTTTGGTCTTTTACTGGATTTGTTTTGTCATGGGTAACTTCTTGTGTCTCAARATTTTGTTCTACTGAAGTATCTTTACTCTCTTGATGCATGCCATGCATCACTTGAAGAACGGGGTTGTTTGTATCTGTGTTGCGTTGAGGGACCAATTCTCTGAATGTGGATGATTCAACATCCTGAGGAACAATAATTCCCTTCTGTGCAGTTCTTTCCAAATTGCTATCAAAAGTCTGAATTCCAACATCCTGAGTCTTCACTGTGTCCAAGCTGGTTTGATTTGTTTTGTCATCTTGCTTTTCTGAAATCAGTTGAGGATAATTCCTATGACTTACAGAGATGTCATTTTTACATGCCTGGCAGTTTGATAGTCTGTCAACTTCAAGCTTGTTATTTTCTCTAAAATCTACCGTTTTAATTTCRGCTGTCTGAAATTCCTTTCCTTCTTCCGTTGTTGGAAGGAGTTTTGTATCACTGTGATCTTAAAGAAAGATTCAAAAATTAATACAAATGCAAAAAAGATTCAATCTTCATTATATCGTGAAGCTCTGCATCCAATGTATTTAATAAGAATGATTGGCTTCTCCCTGATGCTAATATTTTCCTTAACAGTTTTAAAGGCTATGTAAAGATATGTTTATATTTGATTAATATTGTCAAATAATACTATTCTAATTCAGGTATTCTTCCTTAATAATCAGGTTACAGATGCTTGTATTGATTTAATAGAAAGAAATTTCTAAAATTATTTAAAAAGTACTGATGAACTTCAGTTTATTATATAGGCATCACTAACTGACTCAAGAGCTCAAGAACTATTCAATATCAAGTTAGATGCAGGTTTTTTTTTTAATTTAGTTCCACACATTTGTGGCTTCTGTTCTTTAGTTTTAATGTTACAAACCTTATTTGTCAACTACACTTTACAAGGAAACAACTGAAAAACATATGGACAAAAGCAATTTGCCAAACCTATTTTTCCTACTCTTTAGTTGTTCTGATAACCAAAACACATGGATATTTGAGTCCAATTGTTTTAAACATAATATTGGGAAAAATTAAATTATTCAGGAATAATCATTTGGAGTGGTATTTTGTGGGTAAAAAAAAAAATCCTCATTTCATGGATGCTATAAAATGGCAGTCAAAATTTATATCACATATAAACAGGACTTGTGCACTGTGTTGTTATGATTTATAAACAGAGGTGTACGGACTATAAGACTATAGAAGGCCCAATATATAAATCTGAAAATCGGTGTCACAAAACAGTAAAATAAATCAGTCAGGTCACTAAATCCACAGAAAAATTTATGAGCCATTAGATGCACAGGATGTCATCATTTTGTTTCAGATCAGTGTGTCAGTTRCTTTTGTTTGTGCTTAAAAATATCTGCATTTTCAAGCAGAAAACTCATGCTAATTTCATAAGCCAAGAACAAGTGATGGCCTTTTCTTCCCGACGGGTGTGGCAGGATAAGCTTTGTGTCCAGCCTTSCTCCTCCTCAGCACTGTCCCACCCACACCATCCCACATCAGCACCATGCAGCTTTGGCTATTGCTAAAACAAAAGTATATTAAAAATAAACCCTAAAAAACCCAAAACCACTTCTTGCCAATTCCTGCCACCTCTTCTCAAAGATAACACACTAAAGGAAGCGTAAAGAAAATAATCAAATGAGAAAAATTCAGGAGCTGACTGTATAGCCATTGCTTCAAAAGAAAAGGCAAGTTCTCATCAAGCTTCAAGTATTAACAACAAGTGGAAACTACTCACCATCAGTTTTATTTTGAGCTAAAATGTTAAGCTTCATATCTGTTTGAAATCCAGCATCCTCACTGCTTATCTTAGTCTGGAATCCTCTGCAAAGCACAACAGTACATTAAATATGCTGGTATCATTCATTTCAGTAAACACAAGAAACTATGCAAGAGAACTGGCAATATTCTCCAAACACAGATGGACAAAACAGAACTGCTCTGCCAAACACTGGAATACTCAACAGAATAGATTTTTTTTTTTTAACAAGAGGAAATGCTGCCATGATATTTTACCAAAATGACATGCAGCTTCACTGGCTTCTGTGTAAGCAGATGATCAGTTTTCTATCCTCTTCTCCCCCTCCTTTTGTTTACATGTGCAGTTTGAACAAGCCACTTTCCAATAACAACTCCATTCCAGTAAAGCTACAATGGTTTATCACTCATCTAAAGCGTTCTGACACCCCCCCATCTAAAATGTGTCCCTGACTTTGTCCCCACCATGCTACACAGGAAGCTGCATGAGATATTCACAGCGTATGAACACATGAAGTACAGACTTCTCAAAATAGTCCCTTTCAAGAAATACCTTTAGAACAGCAAAGAAATACACACAACATGTTACTTGCATACTAAACATCTTGCAAATGCATACAACAGCTATTTCCCACATTTCACAGGAGACAAAAGAACTGCACAAATACCAAATAAACAACTCATCTTTTGGGTGTGGAAGGGAGATATAAGTCCTTGCCTTAAAAAGGTAAATGAAAAAGGCAAAAATACTTAGAATTTCTTTAYGAAAGGTTATTAGTACTTCAAACTTTGTTCAGGACGTTTTTATTTTATGTAGTGAGAAATAGTGGCATTATGAAGATTCCAATTCATTTGCCACATCARCTGCATTAGTTGTCAGAACCGGTGGCTTGAGCTGACACATTTGCTTTGGATCATTTAAAATGATACATTTCTCAATAACCATCCATGCTCATGTTGCCTGTATAGTCCCAAACATACCATAAGTGCCCAATAAAGCACTGAACAGGAGCATATGCTCTCAAAATTATTGTTGGAGAAAGTTCAAGCTCAGTCCTGCACTCTGTAGTCTTGCTTAGCTCCACTCCTTTTCACACAACGGAGGGACTGAGCTAAAACTATTAAAAAAAGGCTGAACCATGTTGTTAATAGGAATTTTAAAAAAATAAATCAAAAGCCACCAAACCCAAAAGTCACAAAATACCACTGAGTATCATAACAGAAATCAGTGGTTTTGACTGGAATATATCCCTGGTTTGATTAAAAGAAAACACTTCTCAAAGTAACTAGATCTGATATATAAGATCCAAATTACCTAAAGTTTTATGTCAGAGAAACCCTACTCCTCATTTTGGAATCCCCATGATATTTCAAGAAGCAATTGCCAAACCCTAAAGCCAGCACACAGTCAGAAGTACATTCTAGATTATTCTCACCAGAATTATAACGTGTGAAAGGCTACTACCAATTCATGGGGGGGAAGGGAAAGAAACATCCCCTGCACMATTAGCCAAACCAGCCCAATAGCACAGGCCTGATCATTTGCAAGTTCAAGACAATTTATCAGATCCCAACAGAAGAGACAGACCTAAGCAACRGGGACAATATTTTTTAGGACAGAGTATCAAAGATTTTTGAAAAGCCACATTTGGCCTTGGACTAACAAAAAGGTCCCTTCAAATACAAGTTAAACCTCTCTTTACTACCTTGAAAGTTCTTGGCTACTAGGGCAGTCACACGTTTTGGCTTCAGTACAATAATYGAAATAGTTCTTTCAATTTAATTTGGGAACAGTAGCCAGCTTAGTTGCCCCAGGGAACAGAGAAATAGTGAATTACATTAACACAATGGGACTTCTCTGGACAATCAACATTTATTTCAAGCAGGCACTAACTCACGTTGGAAACCTGCTGAGTCAGGTAGTTTAACAAACATGCTGAAGGGCAAAGGTACAGCATCACCAGAAGGGAAAAAGAGCGGTTAAGGAAACAAATGCGTTTATTCTTTAAAAAAGCTAAATTAACTTGTTTTCCTGAGAGCAAATGGATTGAGACAGGTCAAGACCACATATAAAGAAAACTAAAAATTAAAGGCAAAACAAATATGCAAGCAATAGATAACCATGCCCAAAAAAACCAAAATGGCTGAGGTATCTTGTTTTTCTCCAWCTGTAAAAATTAATTTGTATATTTTTATTTAACTAATCAATCCAGATTTTATTTGCAGCATGCTGCTCCAGTAAATATGCTGGGCATTTTAGAGCTGGGTTCAGCTYTTCTGGGGTCCAGCTGTTTGAGTATTAAGGAAAGGGAAGATTAAACGGAATAGACTGCAGAACACTTCATTGTCATTTTTGTTGAAAAGCTTCACGAATTCTGTGCACAGTAGAGTGSTACAATGAAAGCTAAGCATATTAAAGCTCATTCCTCTCTCACAATTCTCTATTCTGTGCTTCACAATGAAACAACACTCTGCATTTTATTTGCCTCCCCCATTTGCCTCCCCAATGCTCCTTTCTTTGTCACAAAACGTACTTACTTGCCATCTGTGCTCATATTTTCTTGTTTTTCTTCCTTGAAGCTTTGCGAGTTGTCTACRGAAACACTGCCAGGCACAGGAGCTGGTGAAGCAGCATCGTTTTTGTCATTTTCCAGTGGAACCTCGGCAGAGCTGAGGGCTGCAGTAACCTCCCCTGTCYCGGAGGGTGACTGAGGACTTTCACTGTCCTCTCTCTGTTGCACGCTTATCTCTTCCCTTTCATCAATTTCTTCCAGGTTGTATTCTGAGGTCCTTGCATCTACACTCACAAAAGATAGCAAAAGAATGTAAAAATACCCCAAAACCAACAAAAACCAAACCACAGCTCTCAATGCAGATCGTAGATAAAAAGGGAATGTTGAAGCCAGCCTACATAGTTTGAAGGAACACTTTTTTTTTCATAATTCAGGTACATTTAAAAAAGTAATTAAAAAGAGATCCATTCAGACTTGACAGTATTCTCTGGTTCTTTTCAATTCTCTCTTCTGACACATGAATATGCTCATCACCATGTTACTGTCCATCTGGTTCTGTATCTGTACCTACTATAAAACATTTTCCTTGTTTAACCCAAGTACTGGATTAAGAYAGATTAAAATATGTTTACCAATCTCATAATCCCAAATTTCATGGAGGCAGACAGTTTATTTTACCCAGATTTCTTGTACTTCCATTAGCTCTCCAGTGAGTTTCAAAATACACAGTTCCTCTATATCAGAGTAGAAATGTTTAACAACGAAACAGCAAAGCAAATATCTATTTTGCCCATGGTTTGAACAAGCTTCATCACCACTATCTAAAATTTGCCATAACCATCCTAAGTATATTAAAGTGTCTTGTGCAGTGTCTCATGCTACAGTAGAAAAATAAAGTTCATAGAAAATGATTAATCCATAAAAATACTGGCATTTGCCGTCAGAGCATACTTACACTAAAATGTCGATTTGCTGGATTAGAACACAGTACACATCAGTGTACTTGAAGTTGAACTAATAAATACACCTGAGCARGATACTCCCATGAGCTCTGGGTGCACTGATAGCTGTTAGGAACAAGCCTTGCACTAKGACAATTAGATTTCAGTCTTTTCTAAGTAGTATCAGTAAAATTCCAAGTGTAAACTAATGTCCACAAAGAAAACAAAAAGTAAGGAATACTGGAATGTCACAGACCCCAGAGCACAAAAAACCACCCAATCTTAGACTGCCTTAGACAGCTGGTATTCTATAATGCTTCCAGTACTCCTAGAGAAGTACACTGTTTCAGAAAAGTAGTAAGAGGATGCATGTAYTGGAGAAAGGCTCAGTACAGAACAAAAACTTTGATGTTTACAATAGAATCATTAATTAAGAGTTCAGTAATAACAAAGATACTCATTCGGATTTACAGAGCAATTACAAAAGCCAAAAATTTTATTATTTAATTCTTGGTTTTATATTCCATTCTTGTAATAACGTTTTGTAGTTTCACATTAGGCAATGTGATCAACACATGCCATGGTCCTGAATGCAGAGGTGATTCAGATCTTTCAGGAAAGAAAGGGAAGACTGTAAAGTGGTGCAGATGAGCTCCTTCCATGTGGTGTCAGCACAGGTACATACAAATATGGCACACTGGTATTACAGGGACTCCTAAGGATTTACTCGTCRTAAGGGCCTTCTCTTCCTTTCATCCTCCACCAACCCCTCTCCCCTCCACCTAGGGAAAAGTCACATCTAACAGCCTCATACTTTGGGGGATCATTTTAGTGATGGCAGTATCATTTCATGTGTGAAAAGATAAATATCCATGTCAGAATGCACAAAGCATAACAGAAAGTGAGCAAACATTAGACCTGCTAAGAATATCCCACAGCCCATAACTGGCTCTCAAGAACATTGCCTCCTTCACTGCTGAGACCAATTATGCCACRGGCCTGAGCCATCACCAGCTACAGGAGCAAAGACTGAGATTTTCGGTCTAAATACTCTATGGAAACCTGAATTATACAACAAAGAATAGCCAGGACTTCTGACAAGAGAAATGGAAGYTTTCTGGAGCTGCTATGGCTTTGTGCCCAGGCACTGCTGTCATTTCTCTGCTGCTTTTCCTCTGGAGAGGAGTGTAACAAAGGCTGAGTTGTATCTATACTCCAGGGATGGAAACTCAGCTTGGGTTGGTAAGAGACATTCCTGACATTCCTGCCATGTGAAAGCCTGTTCTTTGCTGTGCTAGAAACACTTCCAAGTGCTGGGGTGTACTAACCTGACCTACAAATGGATAATACCAAACACAAACAGCCCTCACGCTATTTCAAAAATGCTCTACCTCATTTGTCAGCATCAGATCAGCCCTGCTTGCTAGTGGGTTTTCATCTGGTACTGGATCTCATTCCAGACCTGGGCCGTAACTGCTGCAGCAGAATAAAGTCTGAATACATTTGAACACAAACAACATTTAACAGCCATCCTTCACTTGCATCATGCAGTTAACTCCCCAGGGGAGCTGTTCAGATTCTGATTTGTTTCCAAAGCCTCAGTCTACATCTTTTATATGCAACATGTTGCTAGGAAGAACTTACAGCAATACTAGCAATATCTGTTGCCTTACTGCTTATACACCCTATACATAGTTCCATATGTAATATAAATTGCATTTCTACCTGCATGTTATTCCCTCTGAACATTAGTCATTGGGTTTTTAGTAGCCCTAAACCAACATTTTTAGAGCCGAGAGGGTGTGACTGTGAAGATATATATACATATATATATACACATACATATATACATGTATATACACTTGGTGACTGACATATATACATACATATATATATATATACACATATACACTTGGTGACTGACATACATACATACATATATATATACATATATATATGTACACTTGGTGACTGACACCCCAACTGCAAGTCTCCTTTGAGCAGTAAGAATATCCTCTGCCCAGCAGAGAACATGCTGGGGCTGCTCTGTGAGCTCTTACGTTTGTCAGCACCAGAACCAGAAAGCCTGACTACATCATGCAAATCTGCTCTTGACTCTACAATCCTTAACAAGGTGCTTAAGAAATACTGTAACCAATAGGATTATATCAAGGGATTTATTTGATGGAAAGTTTTTTTTTTTTTTAAATCTCCAATTTCAAAATTCGTTTTGAAAACTATTTTACTCTCTTCCCTAGGAAAAAAAAAATTAAACATTAATTACCCTTTGGGAAGGTAAACACAAATCATAGACAAAGAAAATTGTTTTTAATCCCAAATGTTCATATTAATTCTCTGTCAATGCTTAGTTTAGTACAGGTGTACCTTCAAACTAGTTTTGTCAAGGTACAGACTGTTTTTGTATCATGGGAAAACTGCCATTTCACAAAAGAAATCCTGCCTGTTCCATACCATATAGATTCACTTAACATATATGTGTCTAAATTGTGCATAGCTAACAGACACCAAATTGAACATTTGCCCTGTTTCTTTTTACGGCAAAAGGTAACATTATACTTGCAGCAGTTTTTTTGCTTATTTGCTGAAGTAGCACTGCGTAACAGAAATACTCTGGAAAGCCAGTCAGAGCYGAACAAAAACTCACAAAGCTTCCCAGAAACCTGACAATCAAAGCAGTACTAATCCAAATGGAAGGAACTTCAGGGATTTTGTAGTTAAAATTATGTCCAACTTCGCAGTTAAAGAGATACTGATCAATTTTGTCCATTTAAAAAAATACCCATAATTTTCAGACTAGGAATAGGACAAATGTACTGGATCTGATTTTACTGCAGGTTAATATTGGTTCTCAAAGCATGAGGAGCTTTGCCAAAAGGACCCTTTATACACAGAYCTCACGACAGTTTCAGAGATGCCACCAGAGAGCAGCAGTATCCCATGAGAAAAMAAAAGAGCAACGAAGCTTTGCTAAGTGACTTGTACATACATTTTAAAAAACTGCACTACGGTCAGCCTTCAGCAAAGGACACTGCATGAAGACATTTGTGAATGTCTTCATTTGTGAGGAGAACTAGAGGCTGAAGATTGTCACAAACTGCAGAGGTAAATAGAAGGGCGCAATATAGACTGTCCCAAGCCCAGTGAAGATATTTTTCTATTTCTTTCTATTACAKCTTAAATTAAAATATTTAATTACAGAACTCAAATGCCTCAARCAGAAGTTTCTAAATCTATGGAAAAACAAACAAGCCATTTCTTTGAAGTTCGGGGCTGTTTATCTACACAGCACTYGGGCATTAGAGTGATAGGAAATGCAGAAACTCTAGCACAGATCAACAATCCTAAGATAGAAACAAGTAGAAGAAAACAAAGAAACTTGATTTTAAATCACAGTATGATAAACTTGCTCATCTTAGACCCATTGCAGGTAGACAGACCATTTTCAATGYACAAAATTCAGTACTAATAAACAAGCCATTCAGTCAGAATTGATTATTCTCTTTCATCTGCTACAGTAGCTAGGACAAGGAAAGGTTACAACTTCATTAGATCTTCAACCTCAGACTTCACAGTATAGGTTCATATTCCCATTTATTATGTTACCAATTGTTTCTACTTAATGTCTTTTTCAATCACTTACATAAATTGCCTTAAACACAAACCAAGCCCAAATTTACTGATTACTAATCTTTTCTTTTTTCACCCTTTGCCAGAGACCTAGCATTTTARCAGATGAATTTTTCAACTCTTGTGGTACATTTGTGTTTTACTCCTCAACCAATTTGACTGGAATACTGGCATCCCAAATAAAACAGCTGGAAAACCACTTAAAAGTTCCTGTGAATTGGCACAGAAACTGAATGCTTAGCCTCATAAAATGGCAGTGGCACTCCACAGGCTTAGCATTTACACTTCATTCTTACAAAATGCATTGAAGAATGATTTTTCCAGACAGCACTGGCACTGATTAGTCTAAAAGCTTTTACAAATTTTAGAAGACTTCTAGATGTTGTATCTTGTAATTGAACCCTACGGTCTGGTGCTTACAAACAACAGTATTTCATAGTACAAACTGCAAAAATTCAAAATGCATTTTGTTCAGCAGCTAAACAATTGTATTTTAAACAGCTATTCTTTCATACATCACATTTTTCCTGTAACACCCAACAAATAATTTAAYGTATAAACAACTCTTTATGCATTCAGTTTAGATTTACAACTTATGTTTTCAAAGTCTGTTCAGATGCCAACCAAAAGGCAGGCACAGATTTGCTCCTGCCCCTATGTTGTGCAGGTCAAGGGCAGCACAAGGCATGGTTCTAAAAACAAGACTGGGCTTTGGCTTTGAAAAGCCTGTTATGAGGTAGAAAAAAAATCATAGAAATTCTGGATAGTTCTTCTCTACAACTWGTGACAAGGAGGGAAAAGAGGGATAATTTTGAGTTTGTTAAATGTAAAGCACAGATAGCAATACATAATATATAYTGCATTTGTTTCTGTAGACAATAAAGATAAAATATCTTTCTTTTAGAAAGCCATATTTTTACTTCAAAGAAAAACTTAATTGATCTAAAGCATTAAAATTAGTTCTATACTTATGACACATCTATAGTTATTTACTGCTATGAATTATCATAGCTTGCTATGAAGTAAATTTTACCACTACTTTTGTAAAAAGCACCAACCTGTTTCAGGCTGCATTTCAGTGGCTTTTCCTTCCGCTTTAGTAGAGGCTGACTCTGCTGACTCTGTTACTGCAAAAAGTGAAACAACAACCTTTATCATCTCTCAATTTCTGAGCGATTAAAAGTTCTAGATAAAATGTGAGACCGATCATACAGACTTGGTGATTTTTTCAAGAAACTCCTCTGAACAAACTAGTGCTCATTGTCACATTTCCCAGATATTTTAACTCAGGTATTTTTGAACCAGTGAATTACATTTTTGATCAAACAGATTAATTACAAAAAAAAATACTAAACTTCCCTTAAGATTCTTCTAGTCAGTCCATTTGCTATTATACTCTCTATAACCCAGAGAAGCCGATCTTTTCTCCCCACTCCAAGCAGTCCACCCGAGTAACACAAACACAATTCTGTACTTAACCTAGCTATAATTAATTTGGATTTGTATGGGTTTTTTCTGATCTGTGTGCTCTAAAGGCCTGCTTCTCACACTTGTGAAAAAATAACGGAAGATTGGTGAGGARGATTGTAAACACATCTAAGTGATTACAGTAGGGGTGCAAAACCCCAYATATATGATACTAATTGCTGTTTAATCTGGTTTGTTTGACAAGTGCAACAGCTGTGCTCAGGTAACACAGGCATGTGATAGACTTGAAGGCACCTTATCGAACACGCTGGAGATTCCTGCCCTGCTGTGGGAGAGATCAAAGCCCAGTGGTAAATACACCTGTGTGAATCCCTGACACAGAGGAAGGGAGCAGGTTTGACAATCCTCTGGCACAGACTGAGCTCTGCAGTGCGGGTGTTCCCCCTTGGGTGCCTCTGCCCCGGTGCTGCTTCGAGGCTTCCCCAGTTGGTGAGGTAACAAAAACAAAGGTACTCTCTGCATCTGCAGTTTTGTGGTTGCTCACTTGAAGTTCTTATCTCATAAGGTGGTGTTACTTTAATGTTTAGCCAGCTATACTTTGTGTTGCCTTCCAATTAAACAGCATGAAAAGATTACCAGGCTCATTACTGCCTTCACTTTGATCTTCTGGTGCTCTAGAGGGTGGTGAGGGCGCCTTGCGCTTCATCCTGCGCAGGGAAGAGTTCACGGAAGCAGTGTCACTGAGCGGCAGGGAACCYTTCCGTACCAATCCCATCGGGGCCTGCCAAGGGAGACAGGGCAGGAAGATTATTAGCAATCAGTGAGAAACAGAAAAATAGCTCTAGTAATTATTATCCAAAAGTATTTATAATATACATTTGGGAAAAAGAAAATGTATTACCAAATGTATTGTGTTTTTCATCTTAATTCCTCCAAGGAGCTGTTTTTAAAAAAAAAAATTATTTTCTCGAGTAATTGAATATATTCACAGAGGTGCAACATAGAGCAGYAAAAGAAAATCAGTTGTTACACATAGTGGAGAACAGAATTTGAATTCTTTTATGCCCAAAGGCTATTCTACAAACCCAAAATAATTCTTTTCTGAAAGTAACTAAAATCATTGTGGAAAGAAATTTGAACTACACCCTACTGCAATGACATAACACAATGTTTATTTCTCTATTCCTTCACAGGCAGTCCTAATCGGTCTGTATACCTAATTATTATGAATTTCTTTCCCTCCTGAATTTCATGAAAATTTTTGGAATACCTGATTTCAAAACTTTTCAAAAACAACTGGCTTACAATATTTAACAAAGTTAAATTTTAGGAAGTTGCAAAACAGTAATAATTATAGCACATAGTGATGTTACAGCATAGTAATGTCTTCATTATTGTAGCAAAAGGAAGGCAAAAGTCTTACTTCACAAATTATCAAATTATCGACACCACTGAAAAATGGACAAAGGATACCTGCTGAAGACCTCATATTTCTATGATACAGCATAGTATCCATATATATTGGATATATAGTCCAATTGCATTTTACATTTACAGACACATTCTCTGTCTCAGAAAGACAGTGATTGTAAATTTGCCTGCCATTCTTAACTGTGGTTTGCCTCATGCTGAAGAAACCTAATCCACATCTATTAGAAGGACAATGTTGAGGATCCCAGCAATAAAGGAATGCATTTTGGAACTAGACACAGCTGCCTATTTCTGTAGTAATTCTGATTCCCATCACTTCTATACTCAACAATATAATAAAATCCAGCAATGACATTCATTTCTGGCTAAAAGGATCCACAGAGCAGCTGGGTGTGGGGTCATCTTCAGAGAACTTGTCTGTACTTCAATTAACCAGCCCACTTCACAAAGGACAGCAACAAAGARCAGAGAAGGCATAAAGACACCTACATGTTCTTGTTTCACTGACAATCCTTTCAAAAACACCAGACAAAAGAATTGTTGACCGAGTCAATTTCCATGGAAAAAGATGCTTATCATTTAGAAAGCCATCACTGAACAAATATCCTAAGAATCCACAGTAAGTGGGATATTAAAGAGCAAAAGCTAGAGTATTTGGTTGTAAACAATCAAATCTATAAAGAAAATTACAACAGAAAAGATACTGGCACAAGGTGTCTGTCAGGCAGTTTGGCAGCTCCTGTGAGATTGCAGCAGAATMCATGAATGAATGAACAGGGATATGAATGAAAAACTATCCTCTGAGCCTCCTTGGGCACCCTCAGTCATCTGCTTTGTCCCACCCTGCTATCAGGTGTAACAGATCCACAGACACTGCACTATAAGGAGCACCACTTTCCAAAAATGTTCACACAATTCCACCCACCACGCTAATGCAAAAGCAACTCAAACCTTTTAGAGCAAAGCAAGACTCGGGGTTTGAGAGAGAAAACACAAAGCACAAGGTGAAATGTTCACTTAAGAACACCAGAGAATAGAAACACAGCACTCCTAATTAAAAATACTTGCTGGCTTGAGTAGTTTTTAAACAARTCAGTTTCTAGATTAAAATGTCACACAGCAAAAATCACTTTACACTGTTAAGTAGTTTCTTATTCACAGTTCCAAAACAGTTCTTAAAAAATAAAATTAGTTAATAATATCCAGCCTTTGAAATTATTCAAGAGGGGATATCAAATACAATATTATTTCCCCAAATGAGACTTTTTTTGCTGCTGAAGCATTTGCTCCTTGCAGTTGGGCAGTTGTGCCTGTCTCCTCTGGCAGCTGCGCTCAGGCTGCAGCCCCTGTGCTGTGCACAAAGCCACATCTCCCTGCTCTGAGGCTGCAGCTCCTCAGCTCCACACAGGCTCCCTCCGTGACCCGGCTGGCACCCAGCTCTGYGTACACTCAACAGATGTCACCAGAGTTCCCTTCTGCACACAACAAGTATGTGTGTAGGGGGGGAATCATGTTCTCAGCATAAGAGCACAAACGCTACCACAAGATTTTATAAGCCTTTCTACTGCCCTTTGCATCCAAAGAAACAAACAACTTGCTARGAGAGATTTCAAGAAAGTACTAAATGTTCCAGTTAAGGTTCAAGTGTTGAACAGATTTTCTCAGGAATTATTCAACATATGAATATTAAGAGTTTTCAAACCCTAACAAAGGCTGYAATGTGAAAATAGTACTTTAACAGATGGAAAAAAATTTAAATAATGTTATTAAGACATATCTGACAAAGTTTTGGAATATACATCTGGGTGTTCATGTGTCATACCAACTGCCTATGATAACCAGTGTTTTATCAGTTATATTGAAATTACAATTCTTGTTAGGATCACTAAAGTAATTAACYGTGTTTATGCAGAAACACCAGTGAACTGTCATAACTTCTACAACATATGCAGGAGTTCTACTTTTAACATCATACACCCTCCTCATCCTGCAACGAGCAAGGATGGATACGAAAACTTTTTAGTCTCAAATTTGGCACCAAATACCACCCCAAGAAAACATTAGCAGATACCCGTACTTCCCAAGTTCCAGCCTCTGTAAGCAGTGACAGACACGGTGCCTTGCCCTTCTTATMATTTCAAAAAGCAAATAAAGGTAATTAAGGCACAGTAATTTTGCAGCTGCAACAGAAGAAAAAAGGAAAAAAAAATAAACCAAAAAAATAATCTGGTAAAGAATATAGTGGTAGTAGAGCATTTCAGTGTGCTCGAAAGCCTACTACACAAAGTCACTACACAATATTTTCACGTCACCACATCCTACCTCTTTTGCTCCCTACCTATGTAAGTTTAACAGAGGATACAYAGGTGGACTGTATCATGAGGCAACAGCAAAACACATTGTTGCTTATATTGCTAATATTCCTTTCTTCCCTTTGTGTATGCAGGCAAATGTATCTCCAKGGAATAACAGCAAAAAATACAGATTTGCTCCCACAATGACTCGTGCACTCATTTCTATTACATGACTTAAACCTCCCAAGATACTGAAACTTATGCAAAGGAAGTAATAGACCTCTACTCTACCGGAAAGAAAAGACATACTAAATATATTTGGAGAAACTCAGCTGGTGATATTCTGGCCAAAGAACCAATATGACTATTTTGTCCTAGGATTTATCTTGCTAGACAGAAGCAAATACAAYAAAGGAACAAAGTTATGCATTTGAAAGTTATTCATATACTGAAAAGTAGATGCATGAAACATTCACTATCAATTCTGAAACATCTCAGAATAATATCAAATGATCTTCATGCAAACTTCAGGTAGTCCTGAGCATTCTCTTCTCCCAGGTAACCCYGACTCTACTCAAAACCTCCCTGCTGTACATAGTGCTCAATGCATCACTGCCCAACTTCTCCTTTAAAGGGCTGACCATCAASCAAGCCTCTGGTGTAATTTCTTCAGCACGGAGAAACTTCTTCTCCCATCTTCTTCCCTTTCTTTTTTAAGAGGTAGYCTGGAGATTCAGATTTCTTTGGGAGTTAGGGTTCTGTAAATAACACAAATTTGTATTTCTACAGTTGASAAGTTCTATCCATCACTTAAAACAGTAAATGTTTTGACTGAAAATCTCCACTTAATTGTGGAGATAATTAACCCAAGCATAGTTTATGCATGCTCCTATACCATAACTGTAAACAGTGTAAGGAGAGAAACATTAATGGGATAAAATGCAGATATATTAGTTTAGCTTTTATAAATAAATCAGCAGCAAGAAAATCAGCAATGGCATTTGGGCATAATCAAATGCTTTTCTTTTACAGAAGTGTTATTATAGCAAATTGCAACCACTTTCATGAAAACTGTGAAGATACACACACTAAATTATACAACAACACTTTGCAAAAACCCTTGAGAGTCCTCTCTACTTGCAAATGTATTAAACTTCCCAGGTCTAAACATACTTCTGGCAAGAGTCATCTTGCTCAAAATTAGAACTGACAAATAAGTGAGGGACTTCAATATTAGAAACTAATATGGTCACTTTTCATCTGATTTAACACAGAAATTTGCTGGACATTTAAGCTTACCAGTCATCTTTCAAGTCTCATATACAAGAATAAGTAAATCATGTAATAACTTGTCAAAGCTACCCTGATATTCACTGTATGATTGTTCTCCCCTAAAAACAGGACCACATCCCTAAAAGCTRATTCTATAATCACCTCAAAATGGAGGCAGAAAACAATTCCAACCCTCTAATCAGAATGTAACTACTCATACAAARAGAAAACAGTTTCTTTAATGGAAAAGTAGTGGAGAAGCTGTAGGAGGTAAACATTAAAACCCTTCTTCATACTGTGAGAAACTGGACTACAATATGTTGATAATTTGAAGAAAGACAACAATGAAAACTCTGTTCCTTTAAAGTTGGCTCCTTTCACTGTTGTCTGATGTTACTACTTTGACACTTTCTCTTAAAACCAGGCARACAGTTAATTCAGGCAAAACTGACATTTCACTTTGCCTTCCTTGTGGATATTAAAAGAAATTTGTCCATAATAGGGCCCATGCAGAAGGACATCCTGGCCCACAGAAGAAATAAAGTGTGTATCCAGTCTACCAAAAAAACTGAAGGGCAGAMTACAGAACTTAGGCATTCTTAAAATCAGCCAGATTTGCAATGAAATGCTTCTTGTATGGCAAAAGGAGATAAAACGTAAGAAAAAAGTGTACCTTCAGCTTTGCAAATTAATTTCATTGGACACTGCAGTAATTGTGAAATTCCCAGACATACTAAAAAAGTCAGTGAACACACCAATCAGCCCAGTGAGCAACCTGAGACTAAGTTCTACCAGCAGGAGAGAATAGCAGAGAATATGCCAGACCAAGTTCTCAATAGCAGAGAATATGACAGACCAAGTTCTTATTTTGTTTACAATTAAATAATTATGAGTTGGTGTGACCCTTGCACTGGTCTCGTTACTGAGAACTGAGTTGGATTAGGTGAGACCTTTTGAGATCATTTTGTCCAAGCTGCTGTTGAGAACAAGTTCCTAGACTGGGTTATTGCAAGAGCCTGTCGGAACATCTCGAACATTCTGAATGGAATTTCCCCTGGAGAAGAGAATGCCCATTGGTTTTCAACCTSTCACCATGAACCCTTTTGAATTTGCCCACATTTAAGTCCCAAGCTCTGCATTTTCTGATAAATCACTGTACAAATTCAAATGAGATAGCAGTCACCTTAAAAAACACATAACAAAGGCCTCTAAGTTTTAAGGGAGTTGCACCAAATAGCACAAAACAGAACGTACATACAAAAATCTTCTGTTCTCTCTTTGTGAGCTATTCAACTTCCGTCAGGTGATTTTAGATGAGTAGGAAATGTCAGTAAAAAATAATAAATCTAAGCAATTTTTTGAGTGACAGCCAAGCAGTCATACATTACGTTTAGACATAATAGGATATTAATAATTTAAAGCATGTTGACATTAATAAGCTAGTTTTTAAAAAAACTGAATTCAATTAAGAGACAAAAATGGTGAAGTAAAAAAAAACCAAAAAAACCCCACATTTTTTTCTTACCCTCCCCAAAGGTTCCTTTTACTAAAATTCAAAAAGAAACCTTTGTCTTCTTCAAATGATAAAGCTCTTCAGCAGGACACAATACACAAAGACAGAACTTCTGTTAAACAGTGCTCTCTTGTGGTTCTGTGCATCAGTTAAAGACTAAATCATTGTATAAAGATAAAGGTAGTCTGAAATTTCTTGTCTCCAAGTCTAAATCAAAATTAGTCCCTCAGACTTGTATTTCATTTAGTTYTGCATTTAATTTTTCCAGCATGTCAATAACCTCATATCTAAAGACCACCCTAGATACAGTATTCAAAGCAAAGTATGAAATAAATTTTAAATGAATGTAACAAAATTTTAACCTTGAYCTTTAATTTGAATTCACAATTGAAAATGTGTAACACCAGCATAACAGTTGATGCATCAATTCTCACAAATTCTATTGTCAGAATGTCTGCATGTCATGTGATATACATACATATATATATATAGGTTACTCAAATATGTAGCCCACATCCCRTAACTTCAATAAAATACAGCCCTGATTTTAAAATAAAGCCCTTACTTTAACTTGCTGTGAACACAACAATGTTTAGACTGCTCCCCAACATGTCCACTCTTTTTCACAACATAATATAAAAAACAAACCACTCATTATCCCATGTAACTAAAACACTCAAAATTATTAGGAATGTCACAACCCCAATTATAATAAAGTGAGATGACATTCTCACATTTAAATATATGAAGTATTCATGCAAAAGAAGAAAAAAGAAGCTTACAAAGCTAATTTACATAAGAAGTTGGTTTTACCTTYTCARAATTCAGCAGCTACTTTGGATATGAAGTTTAAAAGGAATGCATCTTACAATTTCTATAGGTATTTCCTAGTTAAATTTTTTAAAGCAATTTCTACACTTTTATTTTGCATTTATTTCAAACCTCACCATACGTAACAGGGTTATCAGGGTCATTATGTCTGTATTCATTAAGAGAAGTAAAGCAAATGTAACTAACCTGTTGATTCCTATCAAAACTGTTGGATTTCACAATATCAGACGTAGGCCTGACTTGGGCTCGTGCGAGTTCCTGGGGAGCACTCTGAGAGTTTGGCATAGGTGGCAAAGGAGCTCTCCGTTTCTTGGGCATTTCAGCTGGCAGAGTGTTGGAGTCGTACTGCTTGCTGACTGTGTTAGATCTCGTGATGAATGCTGGCCTTGGCTTGCTCATCARTGGAGTTGCTGGGGCACTGGCAGCCTTGACGTGTGGGAAATAAAAATAAATCCAAGTTGCATATACTTTCTGGAAAACAATCAACAGTATTGATTGCTCAATCTGAATACATTTCCAGTTTTGCTTATATGAAGTTACACCTTACTTGTTCCCTTTTCTTCTTGTTTCGTTGAAAAAAACTRAAAAATCCTTTGTTTTCTTTCTCCTTCAGAATATCTATGTTTTCAGATTGGTAAGATCCTAAAATAGAAAACAATAGTTCTAGAAGTTATTTCACACAAGGGTTATTTCTCCTGCATTCTTAGCATTTCACTGTGTCATAAACCTCCTGCAATGATRCRCAAAACCCTAAAAACATAAATCACYCRTATTAATAATTTTTCTRGGTGGTGCAAAATGAACAGTTTGCCTGCCATCCATGTTCTTACTGTCCTTCTCAGAACGCAGGACAGATGAGTTTCAGCTCCTCTTAAAAGCCCCAGCACTTAATCCAGCCCACACCGCTTCTCATATGTTATGGTTCATATCACACAGGCAGTAAAAGGGAAGAAGAGCATCAGACTTTTCAGCTTTCCATTCCTAACAGCTTACATTTATGGCAAAGTTGGAAGTGGAACAAGCCAGGCCTCAGCCTGCACACGGTGTGACTATGGAGAAAGATCACCCAAACATTCAATCAGTGCACACAGAACTGCACAGCAGTCACGGTAAAGACAGCCAAGTCCATTCTCGTTATCCTGCAGAATCTATCCTCCTTAAATTGCTTTATTCRTGCAGAGGATTTATAAATCTAACAATTGACTTTTTAAAAACTTTACTAGAATGAACTTTCTTACTTCCCTTTAAATGCATGTGTAATGAGCAACAGAAATCAGCAAGTCTGATACAAGTATTAATATAAACATTACTCTAAATTAAACAAATTGATCTAGGGTAAAACTATATAAAAATACTTTCTATATGGCTTGGTATATCAAATTCTGCACTATCATTCACTTTATCATGCATTTAAGATAGGACAGAGATACTATTCATCTCACAGTCAAGCAGATGTTATAATAAGAGCAGGTGCTAATGTCCTGTAATTGCTACAGTTTCATAGCCTTATTTCAGTAAATCCTACCTTGAAAAGATGGTAAATTTAAATCAGCTGGTGAAGTGGCTACAGGAAGACAAAAAGAAAGAAAATGTGAATCTGAATCAAGGATGTAGTAACAAGTTACGGACACAGAATGTCAAGCTGGATCTTCAACATTGGGGAAAAATGAACTGGGTACTTTGCAGAAGTAAAAGGATGCATATCTTTACTGCCAAGTACTGTAAGTCATTCAAGAACCTGAGCCTGAAGACATGCAACACAGACTGCAAACTTGTACATAAGGAAGGAGGCTCCAYTTATATTTCTGAAGCAAAGAGAAAAATCAGTATGTAAAATAGTTTGCCCTGGTTTGGATGGCCAGGCAGTCCAAACTTGGAAAACAAAAAGGAATGTAAACCTCAAGTATAATGTTAACAAAATAAAATTTGAATTTAAATTCTGTAAAGTAAAGATACACTTCACCATTTACTTCCATAAAGATAATGGAAAATTCAGAGCTCTGAAYCTGCTTGCACAATTGAAATGCAGAACTACTTCTTATTAAGAGAACTGAAGAATATCTRAATTTCCTAGCAGGGCACTGCTGTGTAGAAAGCATATATGCRCTTGTATGCCCTTCTATGGATTGTTGGCTGTTGATTCAAACAAAAAACACATCATATTGTGCAAAAAACAGCTTTGCCAGTCTGTAGGTGAAAGCAGTAAATAACCAGACAACAAACTGGATAATGCACTRGGGGCCCAGGTAGTCAAAGTAACATGTTTAGGCAAGTTAAAATATGTTGGTTTCCAGTGTAGAGAAGATATTTCATTTTTGTTTTCTCTATGGAAAAAGGACATACTGTCCAAATCTGTCATTCTGACCTTTAGCAAGTAAACTGAGAGACSTCTGCAAACCGTAACCACCAAACAGTAGGTTATTTAGATAGAAAGAGGTGCAAAGACAAACAAAACCCCAACAAACCCCACAAGTTTTAGAGCAGAAATAAAATTCAGCAAATGAAACAGTGGTCAAAACCAAGTGTGAGTCAATATTACTGCTTTCTACACTGAGCTAAAATTTCCTGTAAGAAATGTCTAAAATGGAACAAACCACACAGTGCAAAAATTTGAATTACAATACAGTAAACTTGTCACCTGTCCGGTTGAAGTTTAATCTGGCCTAGGAACCTCAGTACAAACAGRAAGTTAGTGCACTGTGTCCCTGTTGGACCACAATTAAAAAGATAATTATTATTTCTTTAGAATCCACAAAATTAGCAAGGAGCACTCAGAAATACATATAAAGACCATCAGAATATTCTAACATTTTTAAAAGTTTAAATAATTTTTAAGAAAACTAGTTTTCTCTAACATTTCTATTCTTTTCAAGTCATCAGGTCACATAAGAGTGAAGGGAAATAGGGTGTTGTTGGGATTTTTGTGGAAGGTGTGAAGGAAGAAAAAGAAGGCTTTGCATTTAAGTGAGGATTTGTACTCAGCTACCTCTGCTGGTAGCAAACCCTTGGTTAAAAAATAACACTTTTATACAGCACTTCTGAAAACAAAAGTCCAGGTACACGAGTCAGTTTCAATTTTGTGGAAGGCTAATGAAATACAAACTAAATTTCTAGAAAATAATTTCAAAAGTAAAAAACCCAACAACATGTATACATTATTAAAATATTAAGCAATTAGGTTTTATACAACAGCAATTTACAGAAGTTATCTTACCTTGACTGATATCCATGGCATATAGTTCTCTTAGTCCAAGGTCATTAAGAGATTTTGTCACATCAAGGGGTTCTTGAGACTGGTAACTCTTCAGCAGCAGGGTGTGTGAAGGATCAAACTCACATTTGTTACAGATAATTGGTATGAGTTCTTGAAGGGGTGAATGTGGACTAACTCTTACAACTGTCTTCTGTGTCTTCTTGTAGTTTATCACTACCCTTACCGTTTGCTAAAGAGAAGAAAATTCCAATAAATACCAGCACAAATCCTGAAAGAACTTTTTTTAATGCATTTTTGAAACAGCCTCACAATAATCACAGGAATTCCACCTATGGCCAACTTCACCAGTACTGCAGGTTCAGAAGCATTGCATAAGAAATTAAGAACTATTTTGCTACTCCCTTCCATGCAAGAAAAGGATAGGTGAAGCAGTCTGCTTTCTCCTTGAGCAGTGCCATTTGCCTGTGCAGCAGGGGAGTGCCCAGAGGGCCATGCCCTGCTGGGTCATACTGGGCAGCTGTAGGAGTCAGGTGATGAGCCACCAGTGAGTGCCTGTGCACACGTGTGTAGGAGGAAGGCACAAGGGCAGCAGAACAGCTCTCCTGGCCCTCTCTAAGTGCTTTAGATAAATTAAAGATCAGTATTCTTCTACACAGCRGAAGGACAAAGGTGGAAGGAAAGATTTAGGCCCAGAAACTGTATTAGTATTTGTAAAAGCTCCTGCCCTCTTCAGAGTATATAAAAAGAGCCAAGTAACGAGAGGGAACAGTATGTATTAAAGGCAAATGAACATACAATCAAAACAGCACATATATCACAGCATGACAGATGGTATAACATGTTGATTTTCAGTTTGTTCAAGACTGYACTCAGCCACACTTCATATGCAGAAATGTTCAAAAGGCCAGTAAGGCATGGGACTTCAAATAATATTGRAATATTTCCTAGTTTCAGCAGCAAAGATGTTTGCTGCAACAAACAGATGTATTTTACCTAAGAGAAGCTCACTGGAAAAGGATTAAAGCATTTCACAGWGCTGCAGTGTGAGAGGATGAAAGACAACAGGAAAAGCTGAAACTAGAGGATGAGCTATCAGCTCAACATATTGAATACAGCAGTGATTCTAATTTATCAATGTGCTTAATTTTAGTTCTCACCTCTGGTATAACTGGAGCAGGTTTCTTCTTATCCATTTGTTTTGGCTTTACAATCACCTTTTCCACTTCAAGCATTCCCACTGGTGTGTTGGGTTTGAATTTAATCTGGCTATTTTCTGCTGATACCAACTCTATGGTATAACTTGATGGATTTAAATGATACTGTGCACAGAGAAAGATCAGCAAGTCCATCATGGGCTTCCTGTAAAAGACAAATGGAACTGTCACAACAAGTGACAATTAAGCAGGCTATAACAAAATGTGCTGCTAAACATTTAATTCAAAYTGTCCTTTCCTTTCCAGGATTAAATAAGTACTGCCAGACACCAACTTTATATATCTTTGAGCTTTGAAAAAACATAATTACAACAAAAAAAAGAAAAAAGGCAACCCCCCCAAAAGCCACTAAAGAAAATGAAACCAGTTCACACAAAAATATGTCAAGTCCTTGAGCAGAGTGGGAACTTCTTGCTTGTGTGAAATTAAGCTTTCCCTGAGGTTAACAGGAACATGTGGATTAGTCACCTCATTTGACATTTAGTGGGAAATTTAACAGTGCTGATAAATATACTGTTATTCATTAAGAATAATTCTCTCGCGAATCTTGGCATTTTTATATCCATTCTGAGTTACCAGGGACTTTATTTTCAAAAAGTCTGTGAAATGAGCCACTTGGAAGGAGCAGGAGAAATGAAGTTTGAGAGTCATATTTTAAGGAGGTCTTCCATTAGGGATTCCAAAATTATCTAGTTGCTTAATACCAACAGAGACAAAGAAACTAAGTGACAGTATGGCAGGCAAATGCAATTTCCTATGAATCTCTGGGTGATGTAAGATGTCCTTTCCACAATAAAGTATGGCAAACAGAATTTGTCAGATGTAGTCAGTACCTGTATGTCCTTGYTCCCTCAACACTTAATGAAGAACATGCAGAACAGGGTACTTAGGCTGAGTATTTCCAGTTGCTACTGAAATACATTTATTAAAGTTGTACTTTAAACAGAATGGTCACAGAGGTTTAAACAGACCAAAAGTAAGGAGAGTGTCTTTACTTATTACAGAACTGAGTTAGGTTACAACACTATCAGATCATTCCTCAATCTTTTTTTTAATTGGGTAACCACTTGTAAGGACAATTTCACTGTGACTCACTCTGCATCTCAGTTACAGCTATGGACAAGGAAATCCATCACCTCCTCTGCCTCACAAGGGTATTATGAAAATAAAAGTCTGAAGCAATCAAATGGTATGTTGAAAAAATGCTGACGTATCTATGAGAAAATTAAACAGGGTTTGGCTGGTATGGTTTTATCAGAAATCTTAAATTCTAGATGCAATCTCAAAACAGAGGCAAGTATTCTGGCAGCACAGCCAAATGTGGAAATAGCTTCTACAAAGAACCATCAGATTAAGAAGGATTCTAGATAACAAAGATCATGAATGTATTTATTAAGTAGTATGTTAAAACAGACTTTTCATATGGTACAGTTCTGTAAAAACAATTAAGAATTGTGAACACTGTGAACACTGAATTTTTACCCCCTTTAATTTAWCCTAGAATCATTCCTGTTTCCCTTCATCTTGAAGGACAAATGTTCCATAAGCAAACTGTCTTCTGATTTCTAGCAGCAGGGCTGGRCTCTCTGGAGCACATGCTGCACTTCCAGAAGATGGAAACTGTTTGAAAGCTGACAGATACAGTTACTACAGATATTTATTTTTTTTTTCCAGAGGAAAGCTTCTGCCCACTTAAGTAGCAGGAGAACATTTGCCTCAGGAGACAAAGGCAGGAAGAACAATAAAACAACAACAAAAAAAAAACCATGCAGAAATGGTACTCCAKTGTGTCAAAAAGCAGTTATCAGTGTGTCTGAAGAAGTATAGAATGCAATATACTCCCATGCTTTCATCCAGATGATATATAACAGCATGAAGAATGCCATGTGAAATGCAGAATAACTACTCCTCCCTCTTCACATTGCTAAACCAGAAAGTTTATTTCAAGTCATCTCTTGCATATAGCATAACCTGCCTCAGTTACAAGAAAGGAGGAGGAAATCCTCCATTTCTTGTACTTCTAATCCCTAACAAAACAAGTACATCCGTCCCACCCTAGGAAGAAAAGGGCTGCAAATGCAAATCTYGTCATTCCCCCATCTCACTGAGGGCAGAGCAGGCCAGGGCCATGGAGGGGGGAGCCAGAGGAGGCTGCAGACACTACTTCTGCAGCGACCTTTCAGTTTAAGTGTATCCAATAAGTCACTCATTACTTTTTTTTTGTGGTGAATTTTTATACACTGACTGGCTTTAAAAGCTACCCTTCAGTTATTGGACTAGGGTAAGAATATCAAAGATGACCAGGGTGAGAACTGACAAGCAAAGATCCCAGAAATCCATCCTATAGAAATGCATCACAGTGACAGGGAAAGCCCTCACATTAACCAGAATCAYAGGAAGTGACAGAATGTGAGAAACAGCTGCTCACAAACAACAGGTACATCATATTGGTACATGAGAACAGTGACTCTGTGCAAATTTGCTTTCCATTGGTACTTCCAGAAACAACCTGCTTGACTAGAGGACGATGGACTTCAAGTCCCCCCCACTCCACTGGAGCTACATAGCTCTTGCTACCCAGTGTGCCAAACCAGGGAGCAAACCAAATGCTCCTTTACCCAACTTAATACAAAATAGAAAAGCTTCTTCTAGTGGACTATGGAATTTGAGCACATAGCTGTTAAAATTCACCATTTGCTTTTTCTAGTATGAGATTTAAAAGGTGTTCTCTCCTTGGGACCTTCAGAGCTGCTCACCTCCAATTATGAATAAGGAAAGACTGAGTAACARTTTGCTTGTTTATGTAATTTCCAGAGGGATCTTGCCTATTTGTTCACAATATATAATTATAAAGACAGAGCAAAGCTAGAAAGAAAGACAGTTTGAAGTACATTTCACAGTGGACTGCAGGTTCTGCACATCTCCCCCCATACTGAGTGAGCCCAGCAGTGCTAATACTGGTTTTTATTTGCAAGAAAGCCACTTATGAAATCAAGCACATAGGGTATCTTGATTGAAAAATCCCATAACTATGGAATAATAAAACTGATTGGGAAACGASTACACTTCCTGATAGGCCTGTAAGGCCTGTCTTGAACACTAGGTAATGACACAAAATGTAATCTGACCAAGTGAAGATAGATGCAACATTCCTTTCTGGAACTTTGTTCTGTGCAAAGCGTGAAAGAAGGCCCATGGTACTCATCARTGTGGACAAAGGAAGCAAGAAGAACAAGAAGTTCCTGATAGCATACACATGGAGACTCATGTCTAAGAAGTCTTAAAAGCAAAGGAACACACCGTATTTACAGACTGCAATATTCCTTACTATAAACATGCTGAAAAGAACACCATACATCAACTAGTCACAATTACTTCAGAAAGTTTCTTCTGAGAAATAAAACTTCACATTTAAGTTACCCTGAAAATCACAGAATCAAGGGATAGTGACTGTAGCTCAAGACCCACTGAAGCTCCATGAACAAGCTGGTATTTGATGTCTAAGCAATGACCTCATGAACTCCAGCAAATGACAGCATGCACACCCAAGCCAGACTTTAACTCTCCTTAAGAAGAAAGTACAAGCACACATTTAAAATAAYTGGTTTGAATGAATAAATAAGTCAGCCTGCTTGCTGTCAGTAGCAAAGACATGGGCCGTACACTAAAATGAGGACAATATACARACAGGTTTGTTTATTTCAGCCTAGGATGGCAATGAACTGGCATCCAAATTGCTGTGATCCACACACAGCCCTGCAYAGGAGCCTTCTTAGCAAAAATCCTGCATTTTAAGCCCCAGGATTTATGATTTCAACTCACCAGAAAATGTTTAGATCTTTCTGAACTAAAAGTGACTTGAGAGTTACATGCACAATCCGTCCTACCAATAAACAGTCTGAAATATGCATTTMAAACTAAAATCAGCTTAAGCAAAGCATAATTGTTAATAGAAATCCAAAGCTGTAGCTATAAATTTTTTTGAAGCATTGCAAATTATGTCTGAAGTGATGATAYGTTTTCTCAGGACTGCTCGTAGTCTACAGGTAGTAGTGCTGAACAAGTGAACGTATAACTTGATACCCAAACAGGATGGGGATGAAAAAACTCATCTTTAAAAAGCAAAACTTATGTGGGAAGATTCACTGAATCATACAAACCAATATTTTATAGAGATTTTTAGTGACTAGAAAAAATTATGTGTGGCCACACATAATTTTTGAGATTTCTGAATCTCAAAAAAACAGTCTTCTGAAATGGTAGGTAAATGGACAGAGTAGGATGTTTCCATATCCACCCAAAATCATAGTAGAATCACAGAACCACTTAGGTTGAAAAACACCTTTAGGATCATCAAGCCCAGCATTGCCAAGTCTACCACTAAACCATATCTTTAAGTACCACATCTATGCATCTTTTAAATACTTCCAGGGATGACAGTTAAGCCACTTCCCTGGGCTGCCTTTTCCGATGCTTGTCAAACCCCTTCCGTGAAGAAACTTTTCCTAATATCCAGTCTAAACCTCCCCTTAGGCCATTTCTCCTTATCCTATCCCTTGTTACTTGGGAGAAGAGACCAACCCTACCTGGTTACAACCTCCTTTCAGGTAGCTGCAGAGAKCAGTAAGGTCTCTCCTGAGCTTTTCTCCAGGCTAAACAACCCCAGSTCCCTCAGGTAACCCTAACTGGAACCCTCCTAAGACTTGTGATCTTCACACTCCACTTTGCTGCACTTCTTTAGACACACTTTATGATCAGTTACACAAATCATGTATTTTACTGAATGATCATAACCTGGATGATGATTGAAGTAAATCTGAGCAAAACCAAGAAAATCAAACAAAAATATCGTTCTGTGTAACATACCTCCCGTTAACTGTAGTATACTTGATCACATCTCCCGGCAAGACCACTGATAATTCAATATCTTTATCAATTACATTCTCCTTCTGTTCCATTATGAGGTTGGTTGGCTCTGTGTTATCAAATGGAGTAACAGCAATGGATTTTGTTTCAGATGGAGGAGGTGGTGCTTTAGATTTTCTTCTGAAATAAACAGACAAAAATGAAAAATCAAGTATGCATTTATACATACARTTCCATCCTGGCAAACTAACAAGTTTCAAAACAGAAAAGAACACTTTATTCTTTTCTAAAGTAATGTGTGCAAAAAACGGATTAGAGAATATTTTAAACATACAATCAGTGGTGACACAAGACAAAATACGCTAAGGTACTCATCACAAAAAAAACAAAAAACAGAGAGCCCAATAAACATTAAGCCAAAACAAGTTTTTCAGCGAAGCATAAAACAGTAGATTAGTATTAGTTTGGGTTTTTTTTCTCCCTTAGGTTATGCAAAGACCCCATTTGTGAATTCTGCAAAGAGATTTACTGGATTAGTATAAACAGAAATACTATGCACTATGAAGGCAAATTGCACTACCAGTGTGCTTAATATAGGATAGATACTGACTGGTAGTGACACTTTTCCTCCCCAAATTTTTCTTTTGGTTATTAAAATTATTCKAAGAAATCCTAGCAGCTCTCTACATTATTTAACATCTATACAGTAATAAAATGACAGTAGAACTGATTCTGCTCTGTTGTTATATTTCTTGACAGTCACAATATGCTTTCATATATTCCCCTTGCCTATGTTGATTTCCTATCTTAGTTTTCTTGATACTCTTTCTCACGTTAGTGACCAGACAGTTTACTCAYGAATACAAGAACTGATCACTAAATAAGCTGGACTTATTTCACTTTAAAAAATTCCTAAAACAGTATAAAACTCTCTGTAGCTCTTAATATATGTATGTTACAATAAGAAGGAAAAGACACTATTATTAAGAATTTTACCATTAGAAACAAAACCAAAACACAGTCATGACGCATTACCTCATGAGAGCTTTTGAATTTCTTATAAACATTCTTGAATAGAGCCACATTCACAGAAAGTTGAAACACGTATCAAATTTAATACACAAAGGCTCCAAAAATATGCTCGCCATTTAGATGGAACTGTACTAAAGTTTGTTTACTTTAAACATAACGAAAGAAATTAACTCCTATAATTGTCCTACAGAATKAAAACAAAAACCTAGCATACAACTAGAAATAAACACCTTTCTTGAGAAAACAAAGTTTAAAGTCACTCACAATGAAGAACAAACAAGGTCCARAGCAGCATTGCAAAAAACAACTGTAACAAGGCTTCACATGACTGATCTGTTGCTGAAAGTGCTTAGAGTTTTGAACTTCAGAACTCTGTGCTGAATAATTAACTATTGACARCCCCTTGCAGCTAATCGAGAGCACTCACAGGCCTCCAAAAACATTGAATGAGGATCCACATTCAAAATTTATATCTCTTCTCTCAATGTTTTAAATYAGTTTGGTGCACTCTACACGCAATTCAAGGTGTACAACATGAGCTGAAAATTTGACTTTGGTCTCTACAACAGCTTGCCTGCACTGTTTCAGGATTACACGAACATTGCAAAGTGTATGAATCAAACTTCTTTGTACTCCTCCCTGGCTTCTTTGGGTTTTTTGTTTCTTTTTTTTGCAAGATTTTTAGCTTTCATATAACTGCYAAATATAAATTATTAACTACTACAGAGTATCAGTGCACTGGAAATAAATATAATCCCAAAACCATAAAAGCACACCCTGTGACATTAATACGAAAAAACCCAAAGTGAACCAGTACTGCTTGGCCCCCCTTCTTTACTCTTTCTTACATCTTTATCTTCAAATGACTGTTAAAAGCTATCACAGACTTTAATCTTTGAAGAAGCATCACAGAATCATGTCTTGTCAAACACTAGTGGACTCTATTTTCCATTAGGTAAACAAATGCAATTTTATTGCTGTAACTCCACTATCACCACMATGCTTAATGACACACAGCAATAAATGTGGTTTATTCATTCAGTGTCTAGCTTACACTGAAGAGAGCTAAAATTGGTTCACCAAATACTCTTATCAAAACACACAGCCAACAGCTGAAGTTCCACATATTTATAAAGAACACACACACAGGGGTSAGGCAGTTTAACAAGGTTGCTGAAGCCTCACACCCTCCACTGCAGAGCCGTTTACCCCACCCATCTCTAAAAAATCCCATTGTGCTTTATGCTTAGTTATGCTTACGTGTCCCACCCCACACAAAGGAGAAAAATCCCAAGTGCACTTTTTCAGAAGTCATGCCAAGTTTTTGGCAACCTCTTATTAAACAACAGGGATCCCAATGCTTTCATTTTCTGTTTCCARATGCCATGTCTCTTTTTTTCTTCAGTTCTCACCAATTCTCTCATCTCTCCTTCTTAGCCCAAAGTATTTGCATTTGATCTTACAGCTTTTTCATTATTTGAGTWTGTGTCTGCCTTATCAGAAGAGCAGCTGCCTGATAGGCTGCACTCTCAGCCCCACAGCTGATACTGGACAGCAAGAACSATTCAAGTGACCACCATTACATAAAGAGTTGATGGTGAAATACACTTGCAGGGGTAGTTTTTACCTACATATCCTCCTCTCCCTAATCAGCAATTCAATAAGCTAATTAAAGTGATTTTCTGACCAAGCCATCCTCCACATCTTATTTTATTCTACCACTGAAAGTAACTCCAAGTCTACACCATCATTTCAAATACTTCACCATCATAAAGARCCGAGAAAACCCTGCTTCTCTCTTGCCTGTTAACCTATACTAGGTACAATGCAAACCAGAAGAGCTGTTGATTTGTAATGATTTTGTTAAAAAAAACAGAGAGATGTTAGCCTAATTTCCTTTCCTGAAAACAAAACCTGCTATTTTTAGTAAGAYAAAATACAATCATAACAAAAAGAGTGATTTCCCAATCATATAAAAACAACACTTCCCTTGTTATGAGAGCACTTGGAGCCACTGCTTATGCCAAGGCATTCAGCTGGTTCTCATCTAGTAGAGATTATACTGTCCCCCAGAGAACTGATTCATGTCTCTTAGAAATTTAAATTTCTGTAATCCCACCTGCAACTCCTGCCAGTCTGTGTAACAATGTAATTCCTGTATTAAAGAATTCTTTCAGCCAAATGCAAATAGAAGACTATCATTTTTTTAAGAAAACAGTGCACTTCAAAATCCAATCCAAGACCATAAGGTCAACATTTTATGTCCTTCAGATCCCACTTCAACAGAATGTCATTGCTGTATCTCAACAGCTTTCCTCCTTGCAAAGAAAAAAAATAACAGTGTCAGTGATCTGGATGCTTAGAATCCTTTTCAAAAKAGAAGTCTGATACAGTAAATAAATAACGCATCTGTTTATTGGATTTTATAAAAAATCCTGTTAGAAAGTTACAAGCAGTGTATTTTTAACTATCAGTAACTAGAGAAAGGCACTAAAAAATAATGAGGAAGACTCGAACTTACAGTGACCTGGGTATTCCTGTTTTCATCAGTATTTTCTTTCAAAAAGAACCTCTTTCCCAAAAATAGGAGGGAAAAAAAAAAGAGGAAATCTATCTGCTACATTAGGGTACAATCAAAGGCTACAGCATCAAAGACTTATTACTGTTTACAGCACTTAACTTCCCATTTGGAAYACAATTACATGAGACTGTATAAAGSCAGTTTGACAGCACTCTCACTGAAATTATTTTGAATCTAACCTCCAACATCAAAACCKTTTCTCAAGTTTTCTATAGCATTCACCTAGGACAGGAAAGGTCATTTGGATCTCACTTGCAATTCAGTCATCTCTCAGGTACTGAAATAGTTCATTAAACATAGTACATTAAAAGCCTTCTAAGCACAACAGATAAATTTCAGTTGGTTAATTTGACTGATGGCATTATGAAGAACACTGTTTTATTCAAAAAGCAACTTTTTTAAAATCAAACTTTACAAAATTATATTCGACAAARGTACAAGCAGCACAAAATTTTCACTCCAAGTCAGAAAATGATCTAACTCTACTAAGATCATATCATGAGAAGAAAAAGGCCACTGCAACAAAGATTCTTCCAGAGCTTTTCTTGTCTTTGACCTCTCTTCCCAAGCAATTATTAAAATGCTCTCCTGACTATTACAATAATGCTGTTTCACAGTCACGTCATAGAAGCAGACAGCTAAAACCTCACAKATAATCTTCCCAAACAAGGAACAATTGAACAAGAGTTCAGGCTTATGTTAAAAACATTGATTTGGTTTTTTTTCCACAGTGATACATCAATTTTGGTCAACAGGTATACAAACTATTTAGGCTTCTAATTTCACCTACAAGCATTCCCAGCCCAATACTCATCTTTAACAYTCACAGAACAAATTTTTCCTCTAAACTTAAGTTTATTCTGTTCCCTCTTTGTGGAYAATGGTTTCACAGCATCAGCACTGCAAGTCTTCAAGATCAAATACTACTTCCTAGGAGACCTGGAGACAAAKGCAGCATTACTATCTGATCTGCTCATCACAATCCAGCAAATGACTGAAGTTATCAAGGCAGGTCACTCAAAAAATCACTGCTATATATTTCAGGCATAAGTATAGATGAAAAACTACTTTAAAAATAAATTCTATTCATCTATACTAAATTACTACCAGGCACACAGGTTTCTATACAAAATTTGAGATGCCCTAAGTGCTTCAGAAAAGGTTACTTTTAAGTTACACAGACAATTGTATTCTAATATTTTTCCTTAACATTCAGCCGGCCAAATATTTGCTGCGCCAGCCCCAGAGCATCTCTGTAACATRACTATTAGCCTTGATACTAGGCTTTCATCTCAACATCAGTATCACTGTTTGATATACAATCTCTCTCTTTACTTCTAGTATAAAAGCATAAGTTAGATGTAATGATCAAGGTATGGATCAATGAGWGTCAAACAATGTCCATTCTTAGGTTATCCCTTCAAGCCAGGCTTATGATACATGTAGGACAATATAAAGGAAAAATATTTGCTGTATCTGCTGCAGAGAGAAATATGATCTATCAGATCTTAAACTCATCCCTTTAGTTATCTGGGGAAGAGTGTGAGGTCATATTGTACAGATACTG